CGTGGGGGAAATGTACCTCTTGGCTAGGTCCGCCAAGTCACTCCAACAAAAGTTGTATGTGAGAGTGAAAGGTACAGAAGGTTTGGGATAGTCGGTGTAGAGTTTCGGCCCAAAGCTGCGAACCGGTTCCCACCATTCTCATCAAACTCTTTCTCTCTCTCCTCGAGGTACCCGGCTCCTGTGACCCAGACTGAGTCGAAGTGTTCATGGGTCTCTTTCCCCTTCTTTATATAGGGTCTCAGGTCATGGATGGTTCCCTCAACGAACTTAGTGTGAACCACAAAGGTAGATAGTCCATCCTGTTTGAAACCATTTGCACTGGTGTACCGATACTGGAATGTATCCTTGAGGGCAATCTGGTTGAGGTTGGCGAAGACCGACCCTGCAACTTGAGAGGATTGAATTGTACTCATATGCAAATGCTGGAAAATTGATCTAACGAATTTCAGAGACGACACTGTTTGACTGAAAATTGATCCTGGAAGCTGATAGAATTAACTACGCTTGACTGAATCTGATTGGGGTTTTAGGATGACTCGTATGAACAATTGTTGTTGGGATAACAAGTCACTGCACGTTGATCACTTTGTGGTGAAGAGGTGAAAAAAAAAAAAAAAGAATGCCATAAGTTACCAACTTCTGACGACCTAAATACTGATATAGAGAGCCTGAACACCTTTGTGCTCACCTGAGCCTTGTTCTGGCCTGTTCTACTGTTTCCAACGAAGAGCCAATGCTGTATAATTTGCCATTAAGATCATGGAAGTAAAGTACGTATTCGATAACTTATTTTCTTCTGCCATTCAGACAACATGTTCCCTTTGAGTTAGCATGTGAGTTTCCATGTCCTTGCATGCTTCATCCTCCCACCTCTCTCCCTTGCATCTGGTTAGAGTATGCTTCATTACTAGGATCTCGTCATCCTCCATAATCCACATAAGCTCTAGGCTCTTGTCGGTGGGTAGGACAAACAACAGCTGGTTTCAGCAAGACCCTCAATACAGACAGTTGTTTCCAGGCACGTGCGTTGACACTAGCCACGCACAACGGACGTTAGTTGACTTAAGACAATTAACTCACTGATCAGAAACGGTTGGAGTCTCGTTGAGAATCGACTTAACACAAGCTAAATGTTGCTAAAGTATTGGAGGAACATTGAGCTAAATGTTGGATCCAGCTAAGCGGTTATTAAACACTGAGATACCGGGTCGCCAAATGTTGATCACCTGACATCAAAACGTCGAGAAGAACTACGGAACACAAGGTTGCTGATTGAGAAAATAACCGAACTTCATTTCATAAGAATCACATTTTCACCACCGACCTTCTTATGACTTCTTTTGCTCGTCTTACCGTCCTGAAAGGAGGGTGCTGAACTAGCTCTCCCCCTCTATCGATTACTGACAATGCACTTGCACTTAGTTAGCCGTTTGTTCCATAATGCCACCGAGTGCTCACTCTCTCATCTGATCACTAAAGAATGTAGAGTAACTAGGCTTTACCTTTATCAATGACTGACCTTCTAATATTAGATAATTACGTTGATCTTAGAAATGATTGCCATGGTAGAATCATAGACTCATATCCAATCTCAACGATCACCTTTGCTCAGTCAGTGGCCTCAGCAGATGAGAAGCGTGCAGTGCGTTTTCTTCATTGAACCCACAAAAATATACATCCGTCCTCACATTCGCTTTGTGTAATCCCCGACGTCATCAACAGCCCCCTCTCTCTCGTTCTCTGTTTTCCTTCGATGGGGTGCTCAGAACACCATGAGTGGCTTCTGTCTACCATTCTTTTTTTTCCAGAATCGCCGCCTTTAGACTCTTCAGATTAAAGTAGGGTACCCTTTGCCACTTATCCTTTAACTTCGAACTGAACTCTTGCCATTTTTTCCAAGCAGTTGCTGATAGCTAATTCGCTACAGTCAATCCGCCGTTCCTTTTTGCGAATGAGCTCAGCGTTTAAATTCTCACTACCAAGTCCCTCTAAGCACAACCAAGTGTAGACTCGAGTACTGATGAGAGTTGTCGTTTCCTCGAGGCTGAGTTCAAACTTTTGTCTGGTTGAGTTAACTAATGACAGACACTAACATTGGTTCGTCATAAGATAACACTAATCACGCCCTTCTCTTTTCTTCACGATTATAGTAAACGTTGAGTGTGTCTCTAGGCTCGCTCACGTAGCCGCAGATTAATCAGTTGTACATGTTTTATCGAGACATACTGCAGATTTGACCAACCTTTTGCTTGTAGTTTTCAGTTGACTCTTCGCTCATGCATCGCTGAGAGGTTCGGCTATTAGTCCTAGTCTGTGCTCCAGAGGCATACTTGGAAAATTCGTGTGTCAACATGAACCGCTTACCATCAACAGTCTGCCCACCTCAGTTAGCAGAGCCCGGACCCTCGACCCATACATATATATATATATATATATATATGAGGATATATATACATATATATATATATATATATATATATATATATATATATATATGAGTGTGAAAGCAAACGCACGGCTTAGCTCTCCTGTCCCTCCTTAATTTGGCATGTTTGAACCATTCAAATCATTTACTAGTCAGGTTAATATGGAAGTGACCGATCAAAACCACAAGCGTGAACCCATAATTTCCCGAATGTCGCCTTTACTTAACCCGAGGCATGTAAAGCTAGTTAACACGCACAAAACCCCCTTCTAAGCCATGGTGAATCAGAGCATATCTAGAACTCTTTGTACCCGATGAGCTGTCTCGCAAAATTCAAATCTGAGTCTTTCCCCTTTTCAGCATAGCAAGCTTGATTTTGTAGTCTGCTCAGTCAAGCACCCAGGGTTACTCAATCCCCATGTAGTAGATACTTAACCAATAGGTAGGCTATTTTTCGTGCCACAAACAACCTTTTTCTCATCAGTTAACAACAATTAGGGGCAATTGAATTTGAGGGACCGCGCTCAAACTGGGTTTTGTTTCCAAAAACCTGCTCCCGCGGTCTCCTCGATTACCCATTCCCCCCCCTCCTTTTTTTCCCTCATGCAACTCCTATGGCCGAGTTTTCAGAGAGCTCAAGGCGATTAAACCATAGATTTAGACTGGTAAACCACCAGATTGTATACACCATTACACGACACTCAAGAGATACATAGTAAACCAGCATCTGCAATTGAGTTCAACTTATGTTTGACGAAATAACCTTTTAGTTCTCAATTATTATAACGAGTTTCTAAGCAGGGCATGAACTCACTCTCCGTGCCCCCAGACTGACTGTGCCGTATCAAGGTAGCGTTGAACGGGTTAACATACCCTCGGCCTCCTCAGACTCCAGAGCAGAGGCGACTGCTGGCAGTTGGAGGAGATGAGTCACTAAAGATCGCTCGCATAGACCTATGACTTTTCAAGGCTTACCTCGCTCAAGCATACTGATAGCTCTCTTTAATATGACCAGTGATCACCCCTCTCACAATGCGAGCTCCAAGAGCATGAGCCGCAAAACTCGATAGCACCCAGTGGGATAGTTGACATTAATCAAGAAAATGACTTGGTTGATAAGGGTTGTCGAATTGAAATCTCGCACTCTCTAATCATCGAAGATCAGTATCTGTTGCTCGGGCCGCTTTACCAGGAGAGTGAAGATGTGAAGCGATGAGAGGCAGCCTTAGTACACAAGGCAAGGATCATCAACACCGAGCTCTTCGAAAAACTAGAACTTCTCATACTAGAAGACATCGCCCCACACTCGGTGCTGACTTATCCCGCTTTCGCCGTGATAGATATGAGATGTCTAGCGTGAGCGTGGCAGGTCGACCGAAAGAACAAACAAGGAAGGGGCTCTTCCAACTTCTTTTCAAGAGAAGTTTAATGTCACGCGTCGGCCAAAATCGACTGGTTAACTCGGCTCGTGTTTGCTCTACAGGTCCTCTAGAGAGCCTTTTTCCCGCGCTTCACCCAAGAACGTTCTTCGTCGCTCATGGTCAGAGATAACCTCACAATGTGCTGGTGGGTTGAGGTTAACTATGTCGACGAGGAGGAGATGAAAAATGTGAGAGGCGTTCCTTACAGGTCACTTGCGCGAGCTTGAAGTCAGCTCAAAACACATGCCCTTCTCGCAATCCCCACGAGTGTTCCTATCACACTCTAAATATGCACTCACGTTGGTCCAATCTCACTCCCTTGTTAACTCACTGCTAACCCCGTTTCTGATATATCCCTCCTAGTCTTGATTCGAGCTCTCGCTCACTATCAGTCACTGACAAGAAAGCGGAGCTGAGTGAGACACCAATCATCACGTCTGCTTCGTGCGGAGATTGAGAGAAGAGAGTGAAGAGAGAAGGAGGAAGGAGAAGAAGGTCATAACTAGCAACGTCAACAAGTATTCCCAATTACGTCCCCAAGGGTCTGACTTCCGCAGCGTACTCACACCAGTGTCACTCATGCCGTGCGTACTGACTCCTGTCCATTACCACGCCAGAAGTGGAAGACGGCATAGCCCAAGGACTGCTTCTCAAATCCCGCAAGGGTGGTGATCTCGCCGCTCTGATCAGACAAACGTTGACGTTAGTCGTAGTTCATGATCTCGCTCACTTATGTGTCCCAAATCTCATAGTTTCGACCTCCCTTCCTCCCGTAACTGCCTCACAATTTTGACCTCGCCCCCACCGCGCTTTGCTCCACGCCTCCCTAAACTTGCTCGCTCTTCTCAGTTCCGAGGATGGTACAACACATAGAGTGCCCTGGACAATAAGCGGTTTGTTGACATCAACAGCGTGAGCAAAAGTTAATGCCTTCTGCGAGTGCGAGTGCGGACATCAACAACGAGAGTGAGAGTTAGCGCCTTCCGCGCGCGCGAGTGTTGACATCAACCAAGAGAATGAGAGTTGGAGCCATCCGCGGCAGTGGTTGACATCAACTACCCCCCATCTCCATGAGTTGTCGAGCACTTGTCGGCGAGAGCCCTCTCCCGCTCTCCGCCCTCGTGAGTTGACCCCCTTCTTTGCAGCCTACCGACACTCATCCCTTCGTCGCCGTGAACTGGCCTCTGGGCCCCTCTCCCCAGGCACGGTCGGCTGATGGTCCCTCCTCCACTGGCTTAATCCATGCCAAGACTGTGTCGCAGCATCTAGGTCACTGGCCTCACTGTCGGCCTCGGTGTCCCGATCTAGGTGTTGCTGCTCGCGTTCCACTATGTCCGTCGACGTCTCCTCCTCATGGTACACGACTTTCACCTTGATCTCATCCGTAACTCCTTCCCGTCTGCATATCTTCTTGGCTCTATCCTTGGCCTCCGTAATCGCCAGCTGCAGTCTCTGATCAGTCCTCATCTCTTTCTTTTTTCCCCCTTTAACATTAACCTTCAATCTCACCTCTTCATTACAACGGCTATAGTTTAAGATAGCCGTCCCAGTAGGCCCCTCACCCGACATTGGCTCCCATCTCCAGATAAACTGGAGGTACCTAGGCTTGTGACCAAGTAACCCGCTGCTCCGTACCATGGTCGTGTCCCCTTCACTCGAGAGCCGAGATCGAGCCGCCCCGGAATAGCCGCAGTCTAGCACTCTGAGCACTAGCAGGCAAGCTACCGCACATCCCCCTTTTCTTTTGTAGGATCGCCTCCTGCCGCGATCCCTGCGTTCTAATCGAAGAGTTCAAACTTAAAAATTAATAAAATAAAATTAATTTGAACGGTTCAGAAAAAGGCGAGGAACCGAACTCAGACGATCAGAGTCCAAGCAGAGCTCACTGCGCTATTGCCAACTACTAGTTCTCGTGAAGCGACGCAAACCGGCCACAGGTCCGCCCTAGCAGTCCCATACAAGCATGCCACTGGGCTACCCTCCTTCTTTCTAAGCATGCCACTGGGCTACCCTTGACGGGTACCCGTATCCGATGGCAAGGAGGGGGTTCATGACCTCCCACAGGGGGGTGATAAGCCTCCTACCGAAGCGGCCGCGGGTTGCCGACATTTTGGGGGTTGTACCACGCGGTGCTCCGTCTAACAGTCCAGCCACAATAACGATGCATGAAAGGTCGGGCCATTCTGGACCATTAGGGCCATAACCGAACTCTGAAGTTTGAACCGTTGGCCTTCCCGCGAAGAGCCAAGAGAAATTTGAACAAAAAGGACAAAATTAAGTTAATAATAATAATAATAATATCGATAGTAATAAAACCAAGAAAAGGAAAAAAAAAAGTCGTAACACCACTGCCATCATCCGTCGTAGGATCATTACAAACTATAGCGAGAGTCCAAATCAGCTAACAGATCCAACGTACTTCTTTTCTTTACTTTTTATTTTTCTTTTCTTCCTTTTTTTTTCTTTTGTCTGACAATGATCGCAAAATCGTGTGCATTTAACCCATACTTCAGCTAGAGACACCCGATGCGCGATTAGGAAAACCGAACCGACTATCTTTTTCCCTTTCTACGTGCTCAGTCCAAATTACGACCACTGGAGAGCCTAGGATACCGAGCCTGAGCGGGGCCACTAAAAAGCCCAATATCTGGGCTTGTCAATTTCACTCGACCCTGCGGACTGGTACCAAGTTTACAGCGGTAAGTGAACGGATGAACTGATACTCAGGGGTAAGTGGGCAGATGGACTGGTACGCATTGGTAAGTGAGCGGATGGACTGATACGCATCGGAGGGCGGGACACCACGCCCTTCGACAGCGCGCCGTCCGTACACGCGCGCGGAGACTGCGCGATGCTGCGCGCCTGTGCGTGCGGCGTTCGTACAAGCGCGCAGTGGCTGCGTGGTGCTGCGCCTGTGAGCGCCCTTGCGCCCTGTGACGAGGGGTGTGCACGCGCCCTTGCGCCCTGTGGCGCGCGGTGTGTGTGCGCGTGTGCGCACCTGTGTGCGCTCCGGTGTGTCCGCTGGTGCATGAGTCGCCTTAGCGTGTCTCCGTGCACTTACCTCTCTAGTGCGTATCCCCGGTCGTCCCCTCTGCGTGCGTGTTGAAGTGCGCCTCCTCCTCAGGTCGCCTTTCCACCTCCCGTGCATGCGAGAAGTGGCCCCCTCTTGAGCCCGGCTGGGCTTAAATATTCTGCGGCCCTCTTCTCGGGGTGCCCCAACACCTTCGTGTGCTCGGGACTGGCGACATGGTTGCAGCGCCCCAGTACCATGGCTCCCCCGGACCTGAGCCCGGCCTTGTTCGGGCCTTTGAAGAGTTTTCAGCGAAGGGGGCCTTTTTGTCGGGTACCGGACCTTTTGCAGCGCCCTGGTACCAGGCCTTTTGCACCGCCCTGGTACTGGGCCACCTTCCGAACCTAGGTCCAGGTCTGTCCTCTCGTGGTCCCCACATGAACGGTACTGCCTTCTAGAATTCTGCAGGCTAGACCCCAGAATTAATAATTCTATGGTAATTTTTCCCCACCTTAAACCCGCCGGTCTCTTTAGCCCTTTTCTTAGGGCCACGCCTCCAGGCCCCAAACGTGCTAGAGCATCATTCCTTTCTTCGTTCTACCTCCACGATGAGTCCTCTGTGCCGATTGCCAATTAGTATTCATGAGAGACCGCCTTACAGACCCAAAGTCCTTATTGTCTGGCCCATCGCCCCGACACTTAGAATAACTCTGGTCTCCTCGTTCCCGTCCGTCTTTCGTACCCTCTGACCTTCCCCTATAGTAACCGCTCCTTCGCATCTTGGCAAGGATAGGTCTCGATAGTGCGCGCACGAGGGGTGCTCACCCAGAACTTAGGGATCCACTTCTTCTCGACGCATCGGTCTCGACTCTCGCCACGTGAATCTGGTACCGTATCCTTTGGTGTCGATCGCCATCCTGTCGGATAAATTGATCAACTCCGATCCCCGACAAGTGTTACCCTCAAGGAAGTAAAGGGCGGCGTAAGGCTGGAGCTGCGCGACAGCGTTACCCGATAGTTAGGAAACTCTTGTGGCGCTTCATGAATAAGCTTAAGCATAGCGCCATAGACAGAATCAGTGGAATACGCATTTCTAATCTTATCTTGCATGTCGGTGCCCACATCTAAATATGTTACAATAACACAAAAAAAGTCAGATTTTCGACTCAAAGCGTCGACGACAACATTGTATTTCCCCTTTACTGGCTTTAGCTCAAAGTCATATTTTCGATGCCCATTCACACTTCTTGGGATTCAATTTAAACTTTGCCTCACGCAATTTATTTAACACAAGTTAAAGGTGCTCGCAATGCTCACTCAGACTTTTACTGAAAACCAAGATATCATCAAGATATATAACTATAAACTTTTCGAGTCACTCACGAAAATGCTCATTCATCGTACGTTGGAAGGTTGCAAGTGCATTAGTAAGACCAAAGGGCAACACAATAAATTCATAATGCCCATACCTTGTGTGAGAGGCAGTCTTATGTTAGTCTTTTAGCTCTACCTCAATCTAATGGTAGCCAAACTTCAGCTCAATCGTTGTGAAGTACTTGCAACCTTGAACTCTACCAATAGATCATCGATTCTTCGTAACGACTCAACATTCTTAACTGTAATGTCATTCAATATTCTATAATCTATGCACATACGGACCCCACCATCTTTCTTTGGCACAAATAGCACTGGCGCACCATAGGGTGAGGAACTAGGTCTAATCCATCCCTTTTCGAACATTTCATCAAACTGAGTTCGCAATTCATCCAATCTTTTGGTGACATTCTATAAATTGGGCCCTTAGAAATTTGACTCCTAGGTATAATATCAATGTGATGCTTAATAGGTCGTTCCACAACACCGCTTGGGGCCTCTGCCACATCTGCGAATTCTTTTAGTATTTTCTCAATATCTGGGAATTTTGCTCCCTCCTTAGCTTCACCTTCTTTAACTGGGCGCACATATGTCACAAACACTTGGTCATACAAATTATGCTTTTTCACATGGCGGGCGAATGCGGGGGCACTCATACAACAATGAGCCAAACTGCTTTCGCTACCAGATTCCTTGAATAGGCGGATTTTCTTATTTCCACCCTGCGGACTAAGGAGCCAACACTCATGATTCCTTAACTTTATATCTGCATCTACAGCTTCACCCCAATCCATGCCTAAAAGAATGTCAAAAGGGAGACTATCTTTCACAAAGAGAGTGAGAGAGTGGAGAACGCGTTCCACCTTCACCTCTGCTTCGAGCCGAAAATATGTTCGAATCCCTTCAACATACGTATCTAACACAATTTCGTTATTATTCGCTAATTTACTTATCACGAGCTCATCTAACTGTTTAACCTTTAGCCCGAGACGCAACTTTTGTAACCCTTTCTTACTTATGTAGCTGTGTGTTCATCCACTATCAACCGATCCACCTACTCTTACTTTATTAAATTCTAGATCTGCAATTATTAACTATCCCTTACGCTTTTTCATTTCGGTAAAGAGTTTTGTGATGACTGGCCAACTCATCACCTATGCGAGCGAGGGATCCACCTAGAGAGGTACATACACTAACTACCTCTTAACAGTTAACTAGGTGGGGACCATATTTCTTTTCAGTTTCTGTCAGAGGAACCTTCGGATGGGAGGATGTCTATCTATTTACATCCGAAGTTCCTGTAGAGGCAACTGGAACCCCTACTGGTTGTTCCCTTTTGGTACCTTGTAGTCTGGGCAGTAGGGAACAATGTGGTTGGGGTCACCACACTTACGACACTGGTCAACAACTTTCTATCTTGCCAGACTTTTTCTGTAATACCCAACTTTTTCCAAGGTCTGCCTCCCGGCAAACCGGGATGGGGTGGATATGATCTATCCCATACCACGTGCCTCTTCCTCTACCTCATGTGAAGTTGGAATCTCGGCCACCTTGCGAGGGACCATTGCCCCTTCCACCCACGTAGTAGCTACCTTCGCCACCACCCCTCTGGGTGCCGGATCCTCTTCCTCCACGTCCGTGCCCTCCTCTCCCTCGGCCACGGCCTCTTCCTTGTCGCCCTCCCCCGCGGGCTGCAACGACCGCGTAGTCCCCCTCCTGAACCGTTGGGTTCTCCCTCTAGACATAATCTATTGGGTCATAGGAGAGAGTCCCAACGCCTCCTTTAGAGGTCAGAAGGAGGTTGTCTTTCCTTGTACGGTTCTGCCACTTTTTCCCTGCTTGCAGATTTTTCCAATAGTGACAGCAGTTTGCTTCTGCCATGAAGTCTGCATGATCTATTGCGATCTTGCTGAACTTCTCATATGTCATCCCCTATTCTTCGGTACGGGGATACAGTTGAGTAAGAAGTGGGTCGGGTAGTGCTCTAGCAAAATTATTCAGAATCCTAGTTGGGGTGAGTCCATGCTCCGCGCACTGCAAGAGTTCATCCATGGTAGCCTTGATTGCAGACGCACTCTTCCACTTCCTATCCGCAATGTTAAGAATCAGCATTTCGGTTCTCCGGGCTAGATTTTTATCCTCAAACCTTTCCCGGACAGCTTCAAAGAAGTCTTCAATTCGTGTTTGCTGGGAGCATTTTACCATGGATTAGCAACCTGCTTCTTTCTGCAAGGAGATTGCAAAACGCATGACATTTCTGGCCATACATGAA